GATTTGAGGAGAACAGGGTCTCGCTCAGTGTTGTTCGATTTGCGTGATAATTCACGTTGGGTGCGATTATTCACGATGATCTATTCGAGGAGTGTAGGACTCACTCGAATAGTGTTGCAATGTATGATCTTGCCACCCTACCGTGGCCTGTACGAGGAGTGCAGGGTCCCGCTCGAATGGTGTTGTGAATGATTTCCGAACCACCCTGCATTGGTTATGCTACGTTGCGTTACGCGGAACCTTCTAACTCACGATTGACTTTTTCGACTCTCGATCCGACCCGTGCAAGCTTCAACGTTCGACTGACTCTTCTTTGTACGAAAAATCGCCTAAACACCCTCGCGTTTCCAAAGGCGACAGTTAAGAAACACTCTATGCTTTCGTTCGTTAAAACTGTTTAAAAAGAAAGGTACAGCTGTTAGCTGATTTATGGCACGCACGTGTTTATAGTAAGACTGGTTGGGACAGGATTTGAGAGACAAAAGAGTCCTCGGTGACCCGTACTTCGAGGTATAAACTACTCACCGCGGTCCGCATGCCGAACCACTTGAACCCTGTTGTAAATTCCTTAATCGCGACAAAGGCTTCGATTCGCGGCCGAACAGTTGGATATCGAGAAAATCAAAAATAAAAAAGTTTTATATTTGTACATGTATTGCTTCACGGATATGCCCCTAGTCGGATCACGTTACATTTCTCGGCGACCGAGCTTCGCGTGTCTAAAGGGATCTTCCCCGCAGTGGTGGGGATAACGTTGGTGCACATATCGTACAGGTCATTTGAGCAGATATCGAATATTTACTGTACTTCTAATATCGTCCATAAATCATAAACTGCTTTCTATATTGTCCATGAGATATAGACTAATTCCCACAATGCCTTTAAAACGTAGACTGTACTTTTATGTTGTGTAGACACTATTTACTGTATATGTAACGTATAATGTGTACAAGTATTACATATATTTTTGCAGTAATCTGTTTTTGTAATTAATTTAAAATGATAAACTAGTAATTAATTTAAAATGATTATGACATAAAATTAGTTCAAATTGTAACATAACTGTTCAACAAATTACACATACGAGATATGAGGTTCGAATTACAAAGTTGGTACTCCCGAATTGTTCTACTGTAACGTCCCTAGAACCTAAGTTTAGTTAGTTACAAGCGCTAAAAGGTAAAGAGCGGCTTTTACCCCTAAACGACTCGATTTTACTAATTAAGATCGTGAGATTCGTGTGGTGTGCGGTTAAGGAGTGGAATCCACAGGTCAATATCTTTCAACAATTAGATTTATTCAATAAAACGATAAGAAATAGAACTAACAAATAACAGTACAACAAATAAAGGAAAATATATAAATTATAATTGATTAATTAGAATAGAGAAACTAAATAGATCTTGAAATAATAATAGTAATAGAATTTGATAAATTAAACAATATGTAATTGGTGATTGTGAATTTAACGATATGAAACTCGCAATTTAATACTTTATATTGGACCGTA